TACATAAACACGTTTAGAATTCACTTTATCGAAAAATGACATAGATTGATCGCCAGAAATACCTAATGACACGAAAAATAAGATAAAACACAACAAAAATTATTTTACCTTTAGAAACAAACTCTGTCAATCGTGATTGTAGTTGTTTATTTGCTGCTGGATAAGGTGTAGGTATATTTCCATGAATATACGCATCTTTTACCATAGAATAAAGATCGTCTAGAATAAGTTTTTACAAATGAAGTCCAAAAGGAAAATTTCTTACCTATGTTTTTCACCGGCTCTGCAAACTTGACTTTATACATGATGGGTTGATATGAAATATCTAAAATCAAATGTATGCGATTATCATACAATAAAGGAGTTATCTATATATTTAAATCTAGTGGTAGTCTTTAAATCAAATGGTATAGTTAAAGAAATCACATGAAGACAAGAAAAAAAACAAGAAGTATACAATTGTGTTATATATCAAAATCAATATAGAATAAAAAGAAATCATTCAAATCTAGGATATCATAAGTTAAGTTTAGAATCATGAAAAAAAAACTAATAAACAGTTTAATTGCACTGTGTCTAGTTCAGCCATTCAAAGAAAAACATTTGACTGTAGTTGTATAAAAATATCACTGATTGAGAATCGAAAAGATCTGGTGTATGGTACACTACATGCTGTTATAGTAAATCACTAAATGCTACAAAGAAAACTATATTAGAATTTACAAAGATTAATTCGAAAACAATTATATTACCTAGTTTGGATTACTGATTACAGTTTGATTCAATTGTTGTATTGGAAGTCTAATATTTATCGGCGTAAGAAAACGAATACTTTGAATGCGGCTAGGTGTTACAACATTTGATGTCGACGATGAAGGTAAATTCGTGATGTTCGTAAGACCACGACTGATTGCTGGTGAATTAATTGGTTCATCTCTTTGAGAATGACTAACGTTTCCTTGACGTGTCTGATTAACATTTGTTGTGTTACCTTGTGTTCCTTGAAAATATGGTGAAGTGTATTTCTTTGTTGGTTCTTTATCACATCGTCGAGGACGTTTACCACCTGGTTTAGTAATCTTATCGTCGATTCTTTTTCTTTTTCTTTCATGACCAAGATTAATATTATTATCACGTTTATCAGTCGGCATACCTTAAAAAAACAAAGAGATAATTATTCTTTAATATATATATATTTAATACTTACCAAGGAACAGTTTAACAGCCAATATATGTGAACAAGTTTGTAAAGTGCTCGGACATGAACACCGAAATAACCGTTTGGGATCGTTCATGTGAACAGCATGAACCAAATGATGATCCAGAGATCGAACAGTAAAGACTTTTGAATCCATATGAAATTGCACCAGGTTTTGTTCAAGTAGAATAGCTGCTCGTGCAATATTTGTCAATGTTTCTTGTTGAACAGAATTGGCATTATTTGGTGATGAATTAGTGGTAGAAGTGTGATCATTTCGACCTTGTTCAACAGTACTTTCTTCTCCATGTTCATCATAGTTATCATTTAAATTACAAGATGCCATCTCCTTTTCAAGAGCAACGCGTTGAGAATTATCATTGGTTGTAGATGCTTGTCTTTTCAATAAAAAAGATTTCATTCGTGCCACAGCATCATCTGGTGAAAATCCAGCAATAAGGCTTAACAATGATGTATCAGTTTGAGCATCTTTATATTTCAATTCCAAATGATAACCACCTATAATAGATAAACAAAAATAGAGTAAATTCTTCTAAAAGAGTAGTAAAAATGCATCGAAAAATGCTTTACATACCATGGGCACAAAAACCACGTCTAGTTTCATTGACATAGAAACCCATAACCAAATAGAACATTTGAACTAATGCATCTAATGATAATTCTTTCCAAGAAACCCATTGCTTAAAAACAGCATTTAAACTTTCAATTGGATTCGTGGTTACACCGGAAACTTCATCAAATAGATTAAATGGTCTACTTGACCATCCACCTAAAGAACAAAATAAATCTATTCAATGACAACAGTCAACGATGATATATTGATCAAAAAAAATAGCTAGAGGATAAGTCGAGTTGTCTCTTCAGGGCAACTCGAGTCGTCCAAAGGCACGAATTTAAAAGATGATATATTGATTCATACTTTATTCTTATTAATTTTCTTAATTTTAACAACAAATTAACTTAGAACTAAAAAAATACGGCGACTCGTCAGAAAGATGTCAAAAGAATCTTTGTACTTACCAAGTTCATCAATAATTGGTAAAATATATGTTTCCATATACTTGCGGAATTTTATTGGCCATGATTGTAAAATATTTTGAAATTCCGCTAGCGGTTCGGCACGAGTTGATACACGTAAAAGATTTGTTATTGAATCCATAACATCAGCAATGATTTCTTTTTTAGTTTTTGGAACAGAATCATCATCATTAGCATGGTTTTCTTGGTCATTATAATAATACCTTTTAGCAGTCAGTTTTATATCTTTAATAGCGTGATTCCAGCATCTTAGTTGTAACATTGTTGGATAATGAGTTTGGAAAGCATTTTTTAAAGCATTTTCACCATCAGTAACAAGTATCGACTTTTTATGAAGATCAGGTAGTTCATGATTAATAATTTGAACAAAACGCTCATGTACTAATTCACGTTTTGAATCATGTATCAAAATTGCAAATGGAAGTATTGGCTTTTCGGAAAACATCACGTGTCGGAAACCAAGTATCTGAAAATTAAAAAAACAGATTAAGATGTTATCTACTGTTAGAAATCTAAACTCTTTACTGAAACATATATTTCCCCTAGGGAAAAGGTTGTGTCATAATATAGAGGAATTATTTCTTTAGTTTTGGTAAGAAGATTTGCAAATTGTTGTTTCATTTGATCGTGCATTAAAACAATTGATGTTTCTGGTTGTAGTTGAAGTAATTTGTAAAATCCATTCAATTCATATGATAATAGTATAAGATTTTTTATTTCATCACACGTTATTTTCTGATTTTTCAGATATTTCTGTCGTCGATATTGGCATTGTGCAGCATTACGTGGAGCTTCAACATCACCATTTGTTGCAACTAATGTTTTATAAGCTGTAGCGCCAGGCATTTTCGAGACAAGTTCATCTATTTGTGCAATTGTCGAAGCAGGTGTATGATGAAAAACGTGAGAGTTTTCTAATCTGCAATTACCATGCGGACGCTTCTCTGCAATGTAGAAATTTCCTTAAAAAAATGATGAAATAGAAATCAAGTATAGATTTTTCAATATTTTAAGAATGTTTTCCATGATATGCTGTTCATAAAATAATAATATTTTCTAAGCTCATTACTAGATCCTATTCGTTTGTACGCAATGTATCTCTCAGAATGAAGGAAAATATTTTACCAAAATAGCAGACAAGAACATCAAGATCATTCACTTTCGATATAAAAACGTGTTTGACGCATCGTCCATCTTTTTTCTTGTCAGCATTAACACAAGAATAATAAATCTTGATAAATTCAGGATTATTTTTTGGATAAGGTGTTCTTCGTGTATTTTTCCATGCATATTTATCAAATTTATAAGCATCTAAATTTTTTAAAAATTCTTTAAAAGAATATTGATAAGACTGAAACTTGCCTTTTGTATTTGATGCAAGCGCTACTCGATATATTCGGTTAGTTTCGATGGTATCTGGTATTTTATCTAATTTTTCATTATGTTGTAATGCTTCATAAAGGTCAGAAACAGGAATCTTCTTTTCTTGAAATGGTGATTTTTCATCCATACTTAACGTTCAACAACTAAGATGTGGCAAAAACATCACTTGTAGCTCACACTACTAAGTGGCTGTTACATCTGAAATAGTCAAAGTCATTTAAAAAAGTAGTAAAAAAATTTCCCATCGTTGTATTCAAATCGAAATAAAATTTTAGTAGTTGCCTAATTTTTGATAAGATATATTACGATTGTTTGACTGAATTATTTTTTAAAATCTAAGCGATACACAGCTGACAAACATGTAATGTCATATGTATTACATTAGGTTCATACTATTCAGACTCTGGTAAAATATGGACTTTCAGAGATTGGTTTACTGAATTTTTTGTAAAGACCAATCGTATGCTGAGGCTGCTTCGGTTTTCGGCTTTTACTTCGGCCAATTATTATTACCCATGTATATGTTATGTTCTTAGTATTCGTCTTTGTTTAAAAAAGATTATGAACAACAAGATGTTGTCGAAAGAAGAACTTGAAACATTAATAACAGATAATGATTTATCAATAAGATTCGTTCAAAAAAAGAAAACGCTGAAATCGAGCGAATGCTGGAATTCTTTTCATTTTATTTTTGTGCATAGCGTTTAACAACAATTTGTTTCATGCGATACTTGCAAAGAAATATTTATGTACTCATCATTAAATGGTACTAATACTTTACGATCACATGTTAACGCATGTTTGAAAAACATACATCAAATTTTGAGTCTCAGAAAACTGTTCACGATTTTTTTCGATCTCAAAACCATTAAATTTATCAAAGAAAACAAAGACCAATATTATAGAAGCCTGCACAGAGTTTGTGTACTTGATGGACGTGCATTCGATGTTATGTGAAGTGTCGGATTTCAAAATTTAGTCAAGATCTTGGTTGAAGTAGGTCAGTTAACAAGTAAATCAAAATTTGAAGTAACTGATATTCTTCCACATCCTCCAACTGTAAGAGCAGATAAACATTCAACCGATCAATTCTAGTACTGGACTGTTTTTAGATTAGTAAAAATACAAGTCGACTGTACGATAAATATAAATTACAGTTGATCAATATTTGCGAAAAATTAACTAGCTATTGTATTATAGTGGATTAATGGACAGAAACTCATACTGGTAAGAGTATTAAATATAGTATTTTCTGATTTCAGACAGTTAGAATCTAAATATAATTTTCTATTTTTATCTTGGTATTAGTTACTGTGGTGTAGCTCTAAGATATGTTACAGATGATTTTCAATTATTCACTTTTATTCTTGGATGCTTTCCTTATAATGCTACCAGTCATTCGGCACAACATCTTCGTGAATTTGTGAACAAAGTATTAGCGGAATACAAACTAGTACTTGGTACAACAAAATTTGCTGTAACGGACAATGAAGCAAAAATGTTATCAGCATTTAGAGAATAATGTTGTCGTATCGGTTGTGCTGATCATTACCTTAACAAGCAGTTACAACATCCATTTCATTCAGAAAAAATACATTCGAATAGAAGTACATTTGAAGCTGTTGGTTGCGAATTAGCTCAAACTGTTTTTGATCATGTAAAAAAATTGTGTTTTTTGTAAGACACTCACATAAACAACAAAAATTGCCTCGCAAATTACAAAATTATAGTGAAACACATTTTTCTGGAGCAATAATTATGTTGGATATTTTTCGCGGAAATGTATCAAAATTTACCAGAAGTATTAATCAATAGTAATGCGATGGAAAATTACAACGCCATTGACTAGGATTTACTTGATAATATTTGTAATTTTCTCGAGCCTTTTCAAGACGTAATTAATGCTCCAAGTAGAGGTGTCAGCCGAGGGGTTCAACGGCGGCGGCGTCAGTTTTTTTTTTAATACTCAGCGGCGGCTGTTTCAAATGTTTAGGCTGCACAGCGGCGGCGGCTTAAAAAAACTTTTTTTTTGTCATTGCCGGCGGCGGCGGCGGCTGGAAAACTAAAAAAGCAGTACAGTTTCATAAACAAGAAAAGTCTGTCCATTTCAATATCTTATCATTTATATTTTCGAACAAACATGTGAAATAACTTTATTTTACATCTTGATATAATAAATAAAGTACATAAATAATATTGAGATAGACAATAAATACAAAAAATAGAAATTCATCAAAAAGGTAAATTACTAGAAAAAATGTACAAAAAACAAAAATCTTAGGTCGGTTTAAGTCAGCTATAGTTACCATGGATCATTTGTATTTTGCCCACACTCTCTGGCAGTAACATAGTTCGTTTAGCGTTGAGTATCAATCCAGTTGTCGAAAAAACTCGTTCGCTAGGTGTCGATGTAGCAGGTATTGCAAGAATAATTTGCGCAAGACGTTTTAAATGTGGAAATGTGTCGCCTGATAGTCGCCAGAACTCCAGTAAATCATCACAGCTGACGTCTAGCTTCAAATATTTTTCAATCTCATTAGCAATAGGATCAACGACAGGCAGTGAACTTGGTGTATGTTTTTGAATCAAATTCTTACGAAGTTTCTTCAAACTGTGTACAGGCTCGTTCAAATTCTCGATCGACAAATTACGTTTCATATTCGACGATGATGTTGCTGTACGTGCACTTGAATGTGAAGATATTGATGTATTTTCTGTTGTCGTTGTAGATACTTGTGGATCATAATGGATTCGAAACTTTTTCATCATATCTAATAATGTTAATTCTTTTGTTGTTTGATTTTGTGCTAGATATCGAGTAATATCGATTTTCAATTGCGCTGGATCAAGTAGAAAAGCGCAAATATGTAATGAAACCACCGGAAATCTCTTGTTCAGGTTGTCCAATAGAAGAATTTTCAATTCACGAATAACAGGTGATTCCATTTCAGTAATATTCAACGTGGATTCGATTTCCTATAATAAACATCAATTAACTAATAATATATTTCCAACTAAATGTTGCAATACGCTTATACCATAACAGATATAGTTTATTTCGAAAAAAAGCGTTTCATGACACTAAATATCTTTCTTGAGGGTGTGCACTTATTTCTAGCTAGCTTTCATTCATGATAGGTAAGATTTCATTTTTTTTAATACTTACCATTCGTAATAACAAGTATAAATCCATCGTTGTATAAGATTTTGATGCAGATAGAATTGTTGTTGCTGCTTCTAGTAAACCAAGAAACTCCACTAAATCATAAATAATTTGATTTTCAGTAGCTGATAAAATTAAATCAAAATACTTTAATCGTTGTAATAAAACTTCAATGCCAGATATGTTATCAATATAAGAACGCAGCATAATTAAAATCGTATTCCAACGAGTTAAAACACGTTTTTTTAATGTATGAAATGTCTCTGGATCTGTTTGATTCGTTGACATTAAAGAATTCGACTTTGTTGAACATTGAATTTGTTTAGAATTGAATTGTAAATTATTGGATAACGGTGATTTTCTAAAATCATTATTTATCATATTCTCATCCAAGGTTTCAAAATTAATATATGGTGAAGCTGCATCAGCATCTAAAAGTTCACCAGCTTTATTTATTGTTGATAATAAATCATTGTTTATCATTTCATTCGATCGAAGGAATTCATGTTCAAGTTCATGTTGACGATAACGAAGTTTATTAATGATCATTTGAACATTATCTAATAAATTTGGTACCAAATTCATTTCAGGAATACAATCTGTCATCAGCCAATTATGAATGCCATGTCCAATACAAAATGTATGAATCACCTTCAATAATTTCCATGCTTTGCGCATATTCGAACCTTGATCAGAGACCTAGACAAAGAAAAACCAAAACATAGCACAAATATTTCGTAAAAAGATGTTCCTTACTACAATTATATTATTCGAGGTTAAACCAAATTCATGTAAAACAGTTAGAAAAAGATCTTTTATAGCTTCACCAGTATGTGATTCGTCAAATGGTTGTGTTTTCATGCTATAATGGTGATATTGGAAATTTGAATCAAGAAAATGTATTGTGAAACAAATATATGAACGATGCTTGTATTTGTCGCACCATATATCACATGTTATTGTAGGAAATTTTATTGCTGGTTTTAATAATTCTTTTGTTTTTTGATAGCAAACATCATATATTTTATTGAGATTAGCAGGTGATAACGTGGTGCGTGATGGAATTTCAGATTTTAAATTAACAACTTTATTAGAAAGCAAAAAATCTTGAAAACCTAAGCACGAACAAAATTATTCGATACATCGGACGGTCACAGAAAAGTTCTTACCTTCATTTTCAACGATGGGAAATGGTAGAAGATCTCTACAACACATTAATGTCAATTGATGTCCTAATTGTTGTTTTAATTGCGATGACTTTGTGGTGCAACGATCTCGAGAAAACATGGAAAGAATATGTTGGTTTGTCGTTTTTGTTTGTTGTGAATCTGTTACTTGGTGAGTTGCTAACAAATGACTTTTCATATTTCCTGTACTACTGGTATTCTTATAAATGCTAATAAGCTTCGTAGTTGAAGCAAAACTAGCATCAGGCTGCTCGTTTTTTATTTTTTCAAAACAAATATTGCAATAAACTCGTTCCATATCTAATGGCTCATTTGGTTTTTTGTACAAATGACCAAAATAATTCCAAACAAATGATGGTTTTGGTACATTGGGTGGTTTGATGTTAATAAAACATCTTTGTTTAAACTATTCATAATCGACATATCGACTGAAAGACAAACCTAAAAACAAAGACCAAAATTATTAAAAAATAAGAAGCATCGACAAATTTACTAATATGACAAAAAACACCAGCAAGATTATTGACGAATGAAAAAATTATATCAAAACCATAAATAAATCGAAAATCATTAAGCTCTTTTACAAATAAAACCAAGATTATTATTAACTGAAATATCGATACAACCACTAAGAATATTAATAAACCAAAAATCACTATAATCACCAAGAATATTAATAAGTAAAAATCAATACAATCACGATTACCAAGTAAAAATTAAAATCGCATAATGTATAAAAGTTAGTGTGTTGTTTTATTATCTGAAAATGGCAATACTTGTCTCTTTATATATACAATATAAGAAAAGGATATTAACAGCTGAAATCATTAGTTAGAATTTCTAACCAATGCAGAATTCAGGAAAATATGAATAAAAGATTATCGATTTCTATGATAGGTGTCAGCGGCGGCGGCTAACAAATTTTAAAATTTCGGATTTCATCGGCGGCGCGGCGGCTTAAAAATTCTTAAAATTTTTCCTGCTACAGCGGCGGCGGCTTTTAATTTTTTGAGTTAATCAGCGGCGGCGGCGGCGGTTCAGCCGCACGGTTGACACCTCTAGCTCCAAGTAAAGATCGACAACCTTGCCTTCATCGAGTAATGCCGCATAGGCAATGTTTGATTAAACACTGCTATCAAAAAGAAACGGATTCAATTGTAATTATGCAACTGAAGTTCTTTTTAGGTGCAAACATGAACTCAAACTTTTCGAGTTTAGTTTCTGATGTGTATTTTCATAATTTTAGCACAACAAATAAAAAATGATTGGCACATTAATGACTATCATCGTCGAGCCACTATTTTACATTCGAAATTAAAGAATTTCGAGCTTTGTCAAGATGCAAAGGAAAGATCAATATATGTATTAAAGCAAGAATATGACAAATTTGAATTAAATAATTCTTTAACACAAAAGATTGCATCAAATGTGTTACAAAACAACGACTGCAACTACGCCAAAACGAAACAGCTTATTGACACAATGTTTTGACTCGAAACGTACTAATCGACCCCAATCATCAAATTCGTATCAAGAAATTGAAAACTATTAAAATGCTGACTACAGCGATATTTCTCACAATGATGATGATTTAGATGATATTGATATACTATCATTTTGGCAGAAAAATCGCCATACTTTTTCTCAATTAGCAAAAATAGCAAAAATAATTTGTGCAATACCTGCCTCAAACACCATCGTAGAACGCCTTTTTTCAGCAGCAAAAAATGTTATCACAGAAAAAAGAACGCGTTTGCGATCTGAGAAGATAAATCAAATATTGTTTTTACAAAAGAATCTGAAAACACTATAACAATTATCAATCTACGATGTTCAAAGAAATAGAACTGTATCAATGTCGTCTACAGCTACAGTATCTTCTGAAGAATCTACGTGTACAGCACCAAAACTAATTTCCATTGATGTCGAGGAAGAGGAAGATATGGATGACTTTTATGATAGAGAATATTATTTTGACTAGTTAATTTTTTATCTATTGTAAATGTTAATATTATTTCTTTTTTTTTGTTGTAACGTTTCATAAACTATGAAAGTGAAAACAGTGTTTTTTTTGAATACGGTAGCACAAATCATCAATAAAGTTACTGGTGAATGAATATCAAACTATACTACTCTCTTTAAAACAATAAACAGTATTTTTTCTTCGAAAAATAGATTTGATCATTAAAAATAAAATCGGAAACCAAAAAAATAGGAATTCATCATATTTTTTCATTCCGACTCCGACTCCGAAAATTTTATAATTTCGATTCCGAATCTGTTCACTACTATAAGAATATATTGCATGTATTTGATACCAATTCTATCAAATACTAGTGATTGTTTTCCTATTGATTATGCAAGCACCTGTGATGGGTCGAGTGAAAGTACCACTTAACAAGAAAATCGAAATTAAAACATTATTGGAATTTGGGATAGCTCAACGTCGTATTGCTACTGATCTTGATGTTTTAAAAAAAATGTGCTTACAACGTCTCAAAGAAGCTCAAGGAAAATTTATCTGTGTCAAATGCACCTGGTCAAGGTCGTAAAAGGGTATCAATACCAATTGATGATCGAAATTTACTACGATTATGCAAGAAATATCGAACCAAATCGAGCCAAATATTATCATCTGAACTGATACTGTCAAATGGTAAACATTTCAGTGCTCGAACCGTTCGTCGTCGGTTGCTAGGCATGGGCTACAAAAGTTATTAAGGGGAAAAGAAACCGCTAAGAACACCTGCTCACAAGAAACAACGATTTTTGTTTGCACGTGAACATCAATATTGGTCTCAGGAATGGAATAACATTATTTGGAGTGACGAGGCACACTTTGAAGTGCTAAACAGAAAGAATCGTACATTCGTTCGTCGTCTACGATCAGAAGCTGATCAACCCTTCAATTTTGTTCCAAAGGTGCAAGATGGCGGAGGTAGCATTAGCGTCTGGGAGTGTATGGCAAGTGGTGCTAGAGGTCCATTAGTCACATATTCTGGTAAAGTTGATGGACGCGCATATGTTAAGATCATCGAAGAAGCCTTACCATCGTTTATTGAAAACGCATTCGACTCATCCAACAAAAATTGGATGTTCATGCGTGACAATGCACCGCCGCATCGATCTAAATATACCATGAAATGGCTTCAAGATAAAGGTATTAAAGTTATGGAATGGCCAGTGACATCGCCCCGATCGTAATCCCATAGAAAATCTATGGGATCATATTGATAAAAAAAATTGACACAAATGAAACCAACCAATGCTACACAATCGGAACAAATGATTCAGACAATATGGAGTGGTATAGCCTGCTTACAGTGTAAAACTTTGGTCGATTCGATGCCTCGTCGTATTAATCAATTTAAAAAAACGTTTGGGTGGAACATTTAATAAATACTGGCAGTATTAACTGTAAAATTTTTGTAAAATACTCTAGGAGGTTCTATATTTTTAGCCAATGAAAATCGTTTGATTTTTTTAAAATTTCACTGTCATATACTTTTATGAAATAATGAAGTTTTAATATCGTATTCTGAAAGAGCATATAAGAATCTATATAATCTGGTATAGGGGTGGTACTTTATATTTACTTTACTAGTAAATAGGTAAATAGACTATTTACTAGTTACTTTTGTAAAGTAAATAAATAATTTAGTATTTACTTTTGTAAAGGTGAATAAAATACTTATTATTTATTTTTGTAAAGCAAATAAACTATTTTTATATGAGAATAATCATGAAGCACCATCACAGAAGTAATGTTCACATCTAAAATCATCTGATTATTCCATAACGCAGTGTTTTTTTGAGCTATCAAGAACAACTTTTCTTTTTGTTTCTTTTTTTCAATCACCACTTCAGAGTCACAGTAGATAGTAGATAGTATATTGATCTATTCTTCTGGTTCGTGTTAATTTTTTACTAGTCTAGTTCTTTATAGTTTTCGGACTTCATTTGGAGTTAACTCTTATAATGGATCAATATGTCCTAGTTGTTCGTTTGAGCTGATGATCAATATGAGCTAAGATTTTCCCTAAATATTCTGGTATTAGTTTCAATTTCAATCTTTATTTTATCACAAGCAAAATCAGCATTAAGGGTAGGAAAAACTACGCAAAACCGACAGTAAAATATCAGATATAGGAAAAATATATCATAGTAAAATTTTTCAACAAAAAATACATAATTTCATACAGTATCAAACGATAGAATAGAACATATGTATAACAATCAACAAGAAAAACGAGAAATACTTATAATACATAATAAGTTTAGCAAAACGACACGAAAAACATAGTTATTGCCAAGACATATATTTCGATGGATTAGTTTCCTCTGTATGGTTATAGCGTTTACTTTTTCACTTTGAACCTCAGATAGTAATACCGCTCTTGTTCAGAGGAAAATGTGCACATGGAATATTAAATTTGCTTTTATACATGTACACATATTTGACTTTTTTATTTCTTTGTTTTCATTTAATAGTACTGCAGATGATGAAGAACTTTACCTTTAACTAACTAGACTGCCACTATCTATCTTATCCACAGCAAAATTAAATAAAAACAACGACATGAAAAAGTCAACTATGTGCATATGTATAAAAGAAAGGAACTTTAATATTTCATTTATATATTTTCTTCTGCACAAGCTCAGTATTACTATTTGAAATTTTAAGTAGAAAACTAGGCGAAAATCAACCAAGAAGAACAAGTGAATTCATCTAAGTACAAAAAAACTTTCATTTAATAAAATAACATGAAAAACAAGTTAGTATTTTGAGCAGTTATATATGACACAAGAGTAAAAGTTCATAACAACAACACAATAGAGACTATAAGTAGAGAAAAAAGAAAAAACTTATGAAAGTTTCTACTCGAATTTTTCAAGAACATGTCGATTTTTCAACACAAGTAAATAGCGAAGTGTTCGAGAGGAGAGTGATGCACGTTGCTTTCGATGACGAAAACTTGCCATACTAAATAGAGCTTCACTAGTAACGGACGTGGCTGAAATAACATTTATACGTCGTATTAGGTTCTATAAACGTGGTAGTTTTGTACAATAAGAAGTACAAAATTCTTGAAAATCATCTGCAGATCGTACTGCTTTAATGTAACCACTTATCTTTTCATCCAAAATCATAAAATTTTCGGTTACTGTTGTGGAGGATATTGTATAACCACGCACAGCTGCCAAATTTTCAAGTGGACTTAGTTTTGAAGCTCTGATTGTCGTCGTTGTTGTTGTTGTTGTTGTTGATGATGATGTTGATGTTGTTGTAGGTGGAAGTGTTGGTATTGATGATGATGATGATGATGAAGTAAGATGATTAATATTAGGGGTGGCACTTTAACTTTAAAAAACTTTAAAAAAGTATTAAAGGTTAAAGTAAAAACGCTTTAAACTTTAAATGCTAAAGTTAAAGTAAAACACTTTGACACTAACTTTAAAAAAAGTCTAAATTAAAGTCGATATATTGATAGAGTATTCGATGATCATTCTTGATTTTGTCATAATCTCATCTTTGCATCTTTAAAAAATTATTTTTACCAAATACAATGAAATCGAATTGAATAAAGATGTAATTACACATTTTACAATATAGAATGTAAATATAACAGGATTTACTTGTAGTTACGTGGTAAGACACTTGAGCTTTATATGAATCACAAATTATCAAATAAAAATAAAACTTTGTGATTTTGATTCAACTATCGGAAAATCATATTATGAAAGAAGAAGGTTGTAATTAAGCGATCGGTTCCCTGCTGAAGAAATTGAAATAATAATCAGATTTTTGAGACTATCGAGTCGAGATTTGTTTCACATGAGACCAAGGGGAACAAACTGATTTCCAGCCATAGAAATCATCGGAAATCACTAGAAATCATCATACATTAAATATGTGAATAACGACTCAGTTGTTAGAAATTACAAGAAACAAATGGAAATCACAGAAATGGTCGAACTATATAGTACAAGAAAATATTTATTTCTATTGATTACTGGTGATTTTTACTAATTTTCAAGGGGGAACAAACAGATTTCTTGATTTCCAGTGATTTCTATGACTGGAAATCAGTTTGTTTCCCTTTGGCCTAGATACAAGTTTCAATTAGTTTCATTTCTCTTCCTTATCAGTATACACAATTTTGTCGCTGTTAACGCTCTATAGGTAGTCGTGATAGAGGGATTTCATAATCCTGTTACACCGGGTACCTACTTTTTCTCGAGCTAAACATTTTATAAACATTCGGTGTATTACCCCTAGGGTATCCACTTCGATATTCTAGAAGAAATACACCAAAACAACTCAAATTCGCATAAGATGATTAATTCGAATTTGAATATAATTGATGCATATATTGCACTACAGGAAAAAGGAAATAATATAATTTTATCTGACTTGTAATTTATATAATTTGAATTTAGACATACATATTACTAAGGCTGAAATGCATAGCATAAATTATGATTCCTAGGAGCATGCCGTGGATTCATGACAATGCGTAACATTGGTAGAGGGAAGCCTGTCGCTGCTAGAAGCAAACCGGACACTACTACACGAATGCCTGAGACTTCTAAAAGAATGCGTGGAATTGCTGAAGCCATGTATCAGATTGTTAAGATTATTCCTCGACTTCCGAGAACCTTATCTGACATTGCTGATAGTGCCGCTGGTGCCCTTCAAGACACACCACAGGTACCGCAACACATACATGAACTGTTAGATACTTTATAGAGGCTACTGCAGCTGTGCCTCATCTTGTTAAAGGTATTCCAACCAACTTTCCGACAAGTAACGCATACATCTGGGAGGCACTTAAATTCTAGCAACCTCAGGAATTGTTATAGTAAACGCAGGTATGCTTGTAGCAGGCTCAAGGTCAACAATCGATTCTTCAGAAATCTCGTTTTTGTGTACTCAAAAAAAAAAAGAGTACACGATAGAATCGGTCAGTGTATCCGGCCGTCCTTTTATTCGATAACTCTTCACAATTATATTCGATTGAGCTGAAATTTTGTGCACAGAATTGTCTTATCAATATCAAGGTCGAGTTCGAAGAGGAAAAGGATCCGTGAAGAAATGGCTGAGTTGTCAAAAAAATTGTCATTTTTGATCAGACCATCCCTGAGGGGGAGTACAGGGATTTTTCAAGAAAACATTTTCTCAGAATTATTCACAACATATATAAATCGGCTCAGTTTTTAACGCTGATTCCGAATTTGATATTGGTTTTGAACTAAATCGTAGCTTTCTAACGAAACATTGACTGAGAAAAGTCTCAAAATACACAAAAATTGCATCTAGACACCAAATTACCTAGATATGTCTCAGATGACCAGCAGTTTGGGGGTTTCTCAAATGTCTGATTTTGTAGCTAGTCAAAAGGACTATCGAAAGGTAAAAAACCGAACTCGATTGCTATTACTATTCAGGATTTATTATTAAAAAAATTGCATATCCCTTTTCACTTTTTATTATTTACATGTGCAGCTAAAAAAACAGAAACTTTCAAAGAAAAAAAATATATTCATATAATTTACAATTTACATTTGTAACTGTAATTAAGAAACATGAATTCTGTGCTTATGATTCGCATAAAATTTCTCGACGAAATACATCATGTGAACATGTTCGTGGTAAATATTCTAAATCATCTTTTAAATATGAATATGAACATGGAAAATAATGGGCAATATAATATAGATCACCAGAAATGTGCAAATTCCTAAAAGAAGTTGCATTCGTATAGATTAAACAATTGCATAACATACTAATTCAAAATCTAATTCAAAATAATTGGCATCTTGATCAAGTATTAAATAAAAAGAACGTGATTTATATTCTAAATGACTTATATGATGACCAATACGTTCAAACCACATGATTCTTTTCGAGCCTCAATACCTGAATAAAGAAGAATTTTCATACATAAGTCATATTTTATTTTTACGTCGTTTAATGAGAAAAAAATACATTAATTTTTTTTAATGCACTGTTTAATTTATAACTGAAAATATCTTGATAAAGGTCCTTGTCTGTGTCTTATTCTTCGTTCTTATTTACTCGAAAACAGAATGAACTTTCTGTTTAAAATAATTTGAAATTGATGATTGGAGTATTTAATATTTTATCATCTTAATCCTCATTGTATTTAAATAACCAAAGAAAATAAAAGAAGCAAAACGTATTAAAATGTTTTTTTGAATATCATTTAGTCAACATTTTGGATTAAAATAAAATTATACATCTCATTAAAACTAATAAAAGAAACATACGGAATCAATGGTTGGTGAACCCGTTCGTCGTCGTGCAACTCGATTATTTTATCGAAGAAAACTGAACCAACTGGTCGTGTAACTCGATCAGTTCGTCATAATGATACTAAACAACAAGGTGCTCGTGTAACTCGATCAGTTCGTCATAATAATGCTAAACAACAAGATACTCGTGGTGATACATTTGAACAAGGTGGTCGTGATGATACATCTGAATAAGGTGGTCGTGATGATACATCTCACCAAGGTGGTCGTCATGATGTACCTCAACAAGGTGGTCGCCGTGATACAACTCAACATGGTGGTCGTGGTGATACATCTCTACAACCTCGTAAAGATGTACCTCAATCATCTAATTGTAATAATAATCGAGCTGCTATTATTGGTAATATTGTTTTTTTGATATACATATAAATAAAAACAAATAAAAAATTTTTTTCTATTGTAGAAAGAGATGTAAAAGATAGTGTTGTAACAATTAATCGGTTGAAGCATTAAAGTTTTATAAAACGGTATGAATCAACTAGTTTTATGTTTTTTTTTAATTATTAATTACTTTTATGTATTCTTTAGTAGAGATTATGTTGACTCGAAAGATATTTTTGCGAGAGATGCGTCGATCGTGAATGAAACACGTCAACAGAAATTATTTATATCAGACTTGGTTAAGTTTGATATTATACAAAGTAAATCACTATATTTTAATTATATCATGTATAATACGCCATTTTTTATAGCTTCACGAGGCCAAGAAACAGTAAATATTAAAATCATTGAACGAAATATTAATTCAATATCCAAATTACCGAAGATTCCAAAACGGGCTCCAAATCATGAACAGCAACAACAGCATATATCTGTGGAAGTTTTTAAATCTACTATGTATGTCTACATCACTTTTTATCTAAAATTTGAAATAAATTTTATGTAATTTTAGTGCTGAACTTTTTAAAGAAGCATTAAAAAGATAAAGATAAATCAATAATATTTATCATATCATTTACAACAACAAAACATCAAGAATATATTTGTCTTTTCACTTACCACATATATTCGTCGAAAACAAAAAAAAATCATAAAATAACGTTGCATGAGAGAATTTTTTGTATAGTTGTTGTTGTTGTATTAAATAAAAAAATAAACTAAAGATTTTTTTATAGAAAGATCTATTTTTCAGTGCTTTTAATTTACTTAAAGCCACTAAATGATTTCTTAAGTATTCGTTTATCGAATTCATATATTGAACTAAGTGATCTTGCGCATAAGCTTCTCTCACATAACATCTGACTGATCTTAAATTAATTTGTTGTACTTTGTAGATTTGAATTATCTAAATTAATCTTTTAATACAATTAAACAAAAAATTACTACATTTACTGTTTAAAAAAATTACTTTTGTAAAACAATTAAACAAAACAAAAAAATACTTCATTTATTTTTTACTGTTTAAAAAAGACTATCAAAGTTTCAAGTTTTGAAAGTTTCTTACTTAGAATCGAGTGAATCTTCACTAAGTTTAACGAAGATTTTTCTCGAAAGAAACTTTCTTGTTTATTAGTTTATCTCAAAAAGTTAAGAGATACATACGTTTCTCATTAAGTACAAGTTATACTTAGTATATATACGTGCTTAATCTGATTGAAGAGTCTATATCATTTAAAATTTTTAAAGCTAATCTAATCACATCTTATGGCGCTATCTACATTTCTAAAAGATCAGTCATACCAAAAGTGCAACATTTTAAATTGTGCGAGAAAAAGCCGAAATTAAAAAGAAGATCTATCTCTCAGAAAAATGTTGGAATGATAAAGAACATGAGAGAAAAGAGAAATGATGATGAATTCCGCTTGTCAGATAATAGAAGACGAGCAGAATCACTTCAAATAGCACGACAAAATGATGAATTCAAAACCGAAGGAAATAAAAGAAGAGCAGAAGCTCATAAAATTGAACGGCAAAATGATGAATTCAAAACCGAAGAAAATAAGAGAAGAGCTGAAGCTCTTATGATTGAACGGCAAAATATTGAATTCAGAACACAGGAAAATGACAGAAGACTGAATTTACTGAAAATTAAACGTGAAGAGGAAGAATACAAAGAGGAAGAGAGAAGAAGAAATGCATCAAGAATGCGTATGAGTCGAGATAAATACGAAAATAATTTGCATCTCATGAAATTAAATTATGAATAAAAAATAAAAGAAGGACCTACTCACATTTGCAGTTGTTGTGGTGGTTTATGGTTCGAATATTCAATCAAAGAATTCACAGTTGAGATGTTGAGAAATAAAGGATTACCAAAAGAATTTATTGATAAAGTTTGTTATCTCAAAAATACAATCATTAAATTATGTGGCACTTGTAGAAAGGACATCATGTTGAATAAAGTACCCAATCTTTGTCTATCTAATGGTTTAGTATTCTATGAAGTACCGGATTGCTTGAAAATCTTGACTGAATTAGAAGAAAGATTGATATCACCAAGAGTTCCTTTTATGGTGATTCGAACTTTAGGGTTTTGTAAACAATTTGGTCTCAAAGGTAATTTAGTAAATGTTCCCATGAACGTTGACATAAATGTTTCAATATTACCAAGAAGTTTTAGCGATACTCATACAATTCAACTAAAACTCATGAGACAAATGAAAAATAAGAATGCTTTTATGTATGAAACAATCCGACCGAAAGTTGTACATACAGCTATAAAATACCTTATTGGACAGGAACTATATAAAGATGAAGGTATTGTTATATCGAATGATTGGATTAAGGAATATTCAAATGAAAGAGAAAATTTCATTGTCAATGATGAAGATAAAAAACTTAATGTGAATGAAAATAGGGAAGAAGTTTTTGATGATGATGACGATGACGATTGGAATGAACTTGACGACAAACCAATAAGTCCAGGAGCTACTGAAACATTGTTAAATGATGAGACTAACAATCAAAATGATATCGGTATTAAGTTTGCTCCAGGAGAGAATAACAGACCGATATCTATTTTAATGGATTTGAAAGTTGACGAGTTGAGATTTCCAAAAATTTATTGTGGAAAACAACGAAAAATTAAAGATAATGTTAGATTGACTTATGCTAAAATTGCTAAGTCAGAATTAAGAATGTTTGATAGAAGATGTGGTAGAGTGTCGAAACTATTTTTCACATATAAGAAACTACAAACAAGAAAATTCTCTGATGCTATTTCGATAAATTTGAGAAAAAAAAATACGAAAAACGTAACTGTTGCACAAATGCTTAATCGAGATTATGTAAATGGGCTAATACATACTGATGATGCTTTTACATTCTTGAGATGTGATCGATCTTCACCAGCATTTTGGGAAATGAAAAAGAAGGAACTTCTAGCAATGTTCAGACAATTAGGATGTCCAACAATATTTATGACATTGTCAGCGGCAGAAACAAAATGGTCAGAACTTATTGTAATATTGACTCAAGTGTTAGAAAATAAAGTAATCACATTGAAAGAAGCAGAAAACTTGAGCTACGAAAAAAATGTGATTTAATAAGAAAAGATCCTGTGACATGTGTTCATTGTTTTGAGCATAGATTAAAATGTTTATGGGAAATATTATTAGCTCCTTGTGGTCCATTTGAAGGCAATGGATTAAAAGATAAATACATCATAGTTGAATTCCAATTTCGTGGCTCACCACATATTCATCTTTTTATATGGCTAAAAAATGCTCCAAAATATGACAAGAGTAATCCTAAGTCCATTGAGCAATGTATAGAGTTTATTGATAAACTGATTTCAGTTAATGCTAAACCAACTGAATTTTCTGAAGAACTTATAAATGTGCAACGTCATAAACACTCACATACTTGTAAAAAAAACATGTAAAAAATGGGATTAAATGTCGTTTTGGTATTCCATATTTTCTGATGAGAAAAACGATGATTCTAGAACCATTTAGTGATGATGAAAAGTTTACTAAAAAAGACCATGAAGAAATAAGTAAAAATAGACAGAACGTAATTGAAGAACTTGGAAAAATATCAAAAGATACAGATAATTCATTAACTTTTGAAGAATTCTTGGAACATGTTAATATAAATGAAGAAGAATATATTAAAATGATTCGAAGTGAATTTAAAAAAGCGAAGGCATTCTTGAAACGTGCTCCAAATGAAATCAGAATCAATGCATACAACTCAATGATAATGTTATTGCACCGAGCAAATATGGACATTCAGTTCATTCTTGATCCTTATTCATGCTTAATGTACTGTGTTGATTACATCAACAAATCTGAAAACGGAATGTCTAAACTTTTAAGAGAAGCATTGAATAAGTTAAAAAGAAGGCAACAGCACAGTCAAAGAGTGTCTTAGGGTTATTGCAAATAAATTTTTGAATTCAAGCGAAATTTCAGCACAAGAAGCTGTTTATCATATTTTAAGTATTCCACTGTCAATTAGTAGCAGAAGCACTGTATTCATTAATACAAATAGACCCGAAAATAGAATTTCTATGCTCAGATCAGATGAAATTCTTCAGAAACTGGAACCTGATTCAAGCGATACTTTTGTTGAAGGCTTGATTGATATGTACACTAATAGACCTGACGAAATGAAAAATGTCTGTTTGGCTGATTTTGCTTCATTGTATAATGTGTCAAAGAAAAAAGCAGACAATGCTCAAATTACGGAAAATTCTGATGGTGAAGATGTCATTGACAATGCAATTGATGAAAAAACTATTGCTTTAAAGATGAAAAATGGAAAAGGTTGGATTAAAAACAGGAAAAAGAAAAAAACAATAAGATGCAGAAATTTTAAGCTACATCAAGATCCTGAAAATTATTATAGAGAGCAGCTGGTGCTATTTCTATTATGGAGTAATGAGGAAGAAAATCTTATTAATATAAATCATGAAGAGACATTTGAATTATATAAAAATTTGATTCAACAAAAAAAATCTGAATATGTTCATCGTGAAGCCAATCAATTCGAGCAAGCTTTTGAAGACCACACAAAAAGAGAAAATGAAAATGATATTGATGATAAAAATATTGAATATGATGAAGATAAAAATGAATTTCTCATTTATGAAATAGGAAATAATGAAGGTGATATCTTTGTTGTTGAAATGGGAATAAATACTCGAACTGAAAAAAT